CTTTTTACACAAAATATGTGCTCAATATATATATATACATATTAATTAACTAACTAAAATTACCCCACGGGATTAGGATTTCGGAGTAGAGCGCCTGTTCCATTAAGACGTCATTTGTTTGTTTACTGTTACACATATTATTGCTGACCAATGCTACGATTTATCAAAACAGTGCATCAGGGACCAAAGTGCTAACGCAGCGTCGAGACAGACTATAAACGCAACCCACGCTTGCTTATTCAGTCGATCAAGGTTGCCAACCTTACAATAATTATACCCTTAAGACCAAAATCTCGGCTCTCTAACCTCGTACATAATGGTATTTTGATTAATTTCTGGAGGTTTAGATTTTGTACAAATTTGTACTTGAATGACAACCAAAGACTAAATTTACAAGAATGCCGTATTTGTACGAGAATTTTTGTACGATTGACATCCCTAGTATCATTGTCAGTCAATAATGACTTACTTAAACACGACGCTTTGTCTACCTATTGTACAGAACAGTATGTGCATTAAATTACAACTTTACAAGAAAGTTCATAAAAGTAACTATATGGGTATTATATCCTTTAATAGTTTTTTTTAAAGATGGGATATATTCGGCCCTGTCGTCGTAAAAACGTAACAAATATATAGAAACACTTTCGTATTGTTATATTAAAACATATCATTAGCTTTATCCCATTACTTGGGGTCGGCGCAGTACGTCATTTTCTTCCACTAATCCCTATTGATGGTAATATCTGAGCAAACTTGCCTGTTATAAATACGTACAAATAAGTATTAATAATCTTATTGTCTAGTTTTTAATTATAAAGAAATATGTGTAACATATATTTGTTTAGACATAAAAGAGCATATTTCCGAGCAATCTCGATAAGACTTAATAAATGTTTTGTTTAAAGTATTTGGACGACAAAGCAGAGATCCGAACGACGATGAGTCTGCTTCGTATATTCATTAGTTGATAGTGCATTACGAAGTTTTATTTATAGGGCTAAAGCCTGGCATTCACGATGCATTCAAACACATGCCATCTGGATGGAAAACTGGCATAAAAGAGTCTATATTCTGGAGAATAATCATAATATCCTTCAATTCAACCAATTTATGTACTGTGTTTTTAAACATTATGAAGGTTATATTGAATAAAGGGTTAACAATATCACTTACTTAATTGACCATGAAATACGTTGCTAATATAATTATTAGTATATTAATCATTATAATTATGTAAATTGGCAATTGAAAAGGATGAGAGTTTTTCTGTCAGTTCTTTTCGACACGGACTACTTTCAAAACTGATAAGTGTATGTAATTAGGCCCATAGGAATAAAAAAACATTTTGACTTGATCAATTCAAGAGTTTATAAAGATGCATGATGTATTCCAATATAATTGGGTCGAAATAAGTTGCCAGAGTAGAACGGCCGATGAGTTCACTCGATCTATAATATCTTCAAAGTCTGGTATATTCTCCATAGCTCAAACATATAAATGTTGGTGTGACAAACCCAATTAACCTACTAACTACTCAATTTATCAGAACCTGACAGATCGGCCCAACTCGAGTAGTAACATGTACTGTGCGTAGGCGGCTCTACACCGTGGTCTAAATTTGATGATTTCTTTGTTATATGATATGTAATTTGAAATTCACATAAAACTATGAAGTTGTAACGATCTATTTGATAACTAAAAATATTTTTGTCAACTGAAATGTAAAATAAGCTTACTTTGTCCACCTGTTAGTACAGGGATAACGTCGTCTTTATACATGAAAATCAGTACACACTTCACGTTATCATATAACGCCCGTGATGTAATGCAATGCGGTGCATCACTAAGATGTCACGATGCCTCTATATCGACGACCTCGGTGGTCTAGCGGTCTAGCACACCGCTTTACGACCGATGGTCGCGGGTTCGATTCCTCGCACGGCACAAACATTTGTATTCATGAGTATGATTGTTTGTATCGGTCTGGGTATTTTCTATGTATAATATGTATGTATTTACGAAAAAAAATATCTATGTATTTGTATCAGTTGTCTAGGACCCATAACACAAGCTTTAGCTAGCTTAACTTGGGTCTAGATGGCGCTGTGTGAATTGTCCTGAGATTATTATTATTATTATTATATCCTACATTACTCTATAGCTTACATGGATAACCGCCATCAAAAGAGATCTATCATGGGGAAATTAACGATCCAGAGAAGAATACTCTGGAGTCGAATAATTAGGGGAACCAACCCCAATTAATAGGATAAGACCGGGAGAGTAGTTGTAGTGTTTGTAACTAATCAAAAAATACTTAACTGATTTACAAAATATATATCACCTACAGAATAATATATTATTAGCGCGTACATGCGATGTACCTATATATAAAAAGAGATCCCGCAATAGAAGTTGGGGCGAGTTAATCTATAGCTATAATAAAATGCAGCCTCTTATACGGATGCCGTTCAGGGTGTTCGAGGAATCTCGCTGGTGGTACGCTATCTAATCAGTGCATACAGATTATCCAGACCAAACAAACACGTTAGATTAGTACCGTAGCCGCGAGCTTTGCCGGCGATAAGTTGAAACTTCGACAGCAGGGATGCCATACGGAGGATACTGTACGAGGAACCGAAGATTCTTGGCCTACGGTAAGAGGATAATTTTATGTGCTCCCTCAAATATGGTTGAGTGTAATGATGGCTGGCTCATCCATAATACTCGTGAACGGGTGCTGCTTGTGGGGACTGGTCTGTTCAGGTTGCGAACACTGATAAAATTTTTTGTTCTTTGCGATAGCATATGCTGGTGGTCACTCTATTCTCCCAATTTTGAATTTTAATGACTGTGTATTATTATTAACATGTTCCACTATTATTTGAAAAAAATATGAGCTGAGTTTCTTGTCAGTTCTTCTCATCTCGATATCATTCCGAACTGACGGTAGATTTGACATATCATAAGAGTCTGTTATAGACCTACATGAATAAAGATATTTTGAATTTGAATTTTATCCATGTACAAGTTTGTACTTCATTTTAACCTACGAATATCCTGATGTACCAGGTATTTTTCATAACTTACTAGGTGTACCCGCAGTTGGTACCGCATGAAATTGGTAACCTATGATGTATAAGCTAAGCTATATTACTGTAAAGTGTTAACAAAATCCGTTTTCGCGTGAAAGAGTAACAAATACTCTTTCACCCAAAAACGGACTTGTACTCAATACAAAGACATTGTTAGTAATATGGACTGATGGGCCTATTACTAGTAACTTATGGTACATTATAAATGTTTGGTCAGGTTGACCTCCACGCGGTTCCCACTAGAAACCATCCTGATAAATTCCTAGCGAATTTATCACAATGAGCTAACTGACCTAACCTCATGTTCATCTTATCATCCTCGACTGGTGCCCTGTCAGCGTAAACCGTTAGCGCAGGAGGATGCACCATTCCATTATCATACATTAAACAAGAACAGATACATTAAGTTAATATAAGAGAAAAATCTCTTATAATAACTCAATTAGCTAACCTTCTGATATACTTCAGACTTGCTTTCTTTTATTGGCAACCCTGTTTAACACACGACGTCGCCCATTAACACATCTACAAACATAAGAAGCAGTGTAGATTGAAGAAAATACCTTTTAATTTCATTATATTTTATACTTTTTGGCTTTGATTAGGTTGCATGATTCAAAATATTATTTTTTTATGTAACTGGTAGAAAAGCCTCGCGCCGCAGCTGGTAAGTGGCAACTAGCGTCCATGAATAAATAGCACTACGCCATCATGTAAGGCCTGTTCGCCTCATGAATTGCCATTCCAGAGGACTACGGTGTCATGCATCTACACACTATATTTTTTTTAATGATGAGAATGGAATGCTGCACTTGTCTGCACTAACGGTAACCGCTGGCGGGGCACCAGTGGAGGATTATAAGCATGAGGTCATGTCAGTTAGCCCATGGTGGCAAATTCACCAGGAATTTAACATATTGATCCTGACATGGTACATTACTCGCATGGGGTTATTAATCCACATTACTAACAGTTCCCTTCCCCTACGCTATAATTTATACTTGTTTACTGACCTATTCGTTCAATAATCAAGCACGTTCATACGTCCAGAAATATACTTCTTATATGTTCTTACATACCTCTTATCTGTGCTAATACTAATATTAAAAATATGAATGTATGTACAAAAATATTTGTTTGTTATTTCAAAAGCTTCATTCATATATACCTACGTACATATTGTCTTTGACACATAAATGTACTTTTCAATTCAATTCAATTCAAATTCAATTCTAAGTGTAAAGTCGTGGGATAAAAGTAGATAATTGTAGATAAACAAACAGCATTTTCATTCTCAGCATTCTTATTAAAGACGCACGTAACTTTATTTATTTATACTACTTAAGGTTTATCAGTTATAATTACGACAATATAGTCCTTTCATCTAAAATTATCGGAGTTTATTGCTATGACAAATAAATATGATAGTGAGTTGATAATGCAAACTACACTGCTATATTCAAGTCCCTTAGTAGGCAAACAGTTCGAATACCACTGGCTTCTATTCTTACACACAACTCATGTGTCATCCATACATATGTATTTCTCTAAGGAACAGCTTATTATGGAAATTGTATTAAGATTAGAAAAAAATCAATCTAGAAATAAGCGATATTTTTGTATAATTTCTACTAAAGAGTAATAAGTACTACTTAGTAGGGAATTTTTTATTTATTTTAAAGATACACTTTAGCGCCCTCTGTTATTTCCACTACACAACAATCAGTAGCAGGACGACCAACCATTACTTCATTATATGCATCTCCCACTAGATGGCACGACAGAACAAACTCTAGCTATTCATTGATAGATGGCGTTATACTATATCACGGTTTAAATAAAACTACCAATCAGAATCGAGAACACAATGAAATGATGACAGAAAATAGGGGCTTTAGCGCGCATGGCGTCTATTTCCGTTCGCTGATAGGGCAGCCGACATTTTGTTTCAAAGTAGTGACGTACGCGTAATCGAGCATTAGGTTATGTCTTTATACGCCATTGGTTGGACTACGGAAGAAGACAAAAAACTTGCTGCATTGGTGGAACCGCATAATATTTTGTACAGTGTGAATGATTCCTATTCTTCAAGAAAGAATATTTTAGCTCGTGAAAATACATGGCAAGAAATAGGCCAGGAATTATCCAAGCCAGGTAAGAAATTCAAAAAGTTGTGACGTTTCTCGCGTGCAATTAACTGTAATGCCCTATATTTAGAAATTTGTATATGTAAAGGTCTTGTTACTGCAGATAAATATTTACTTAACTTTATTTACAAACAAATCAGTAATATATAATAAAAATTATATACTTGGTTCTACTTAAATATTTCTTAAGATTTTACATCAGTAGGTAAGCGAACCTAGCTGTAAAATTGGTGATGGCGGTATGAAAAGAAAATTCTTTCAGAATAAGCCAAAGGCGCAACCTTGTATCATCCACTATATCTAACAAGAATAAGTAATAACTTCTTAGACATAGAAAATTTGGAATTTGTATTTACAGTATTTGTAAATGAAAATTTCCAAAGTAGACATTAGTTCAAGTGGAATATCATAAGAATTTGCTTGCTTAAACAATTTAAAATTATGATATAAATAATGCTACTCATCAGATGGAATTCCTAAAGGTCTTATAAGGTCTCTAGGAATTCCTGATAAGTATTTAGTAAGGCTTAGGTGTTTATTTTTTATAAATATAACACAATTCTATTTCTCCAGGCTACACTAGAATATGTGTATTTTGTTTTCTGTTTATATTTTGTTGCTTTTTGTGTTTCATTTATTATATTTGTACCGACAACAATTATTCACAAGCTATCATTTACTTGTAGCTGCATGGGGTTAAATCTGTCAAGTATAGTATTACCTTTTATATTGTGTGCATTGAAGTTAAATAAATAAAAAATAGTAATGAGTAATGTAGGTACTGTACTTAATACTTTCAGAAAATAACAAAAACTACCTTCTTTATTTTAATCTTATTTAACTGAAATATTTCCAGTTGAAGAATGCAAGAGGCGCTGGCGTGGTCTCCGAGATGGCTATGTGAAGGGCAAGGACATGGGTACAATGCACAACATCAAGGCAGAAGTATTCGAGAAGCTTCAATTCCTCGATGAAACCATGTCGGATGCTGAAGAAACATTGAACAATACAATGGAAATGGTAGATGATGATCAGGAAAAGTCAGATTCCCCAGTAGGCATTGAGCAGCAAGTTATTACTGATAATCAGGAATATTATGAGGTTTGTTTGCATATCATATAATATCTGAATAAAAGAAGAATTGAAACAATTATACATGCATATGCATGAGTATAATGACAGAGACATATTATAAAATTATTATTAATAATAAATAATAAAATGTCATCTGGCACTGTGGATAATCAAAATGTATTATTAAAAGCCTATTATGTTGTAGATTTAATAAAGAATATCTATTGCAAAAAGTTATACATATAATACTAAACACATACATAATAATATAATTATAACATGCACTTGATACAATACTAATCCACAGCCAACTGATGTTTTGGCATTCAAAAGTAAAATATATTAAACTCTTGAACAGATGAACTTCAAAACAAAGTTTCTTAATTAGACTGTATAATACTGAACTAGTTTGAATTATTCTATTTTTTTCTTAATCAGATGGTTTATGTTTTACACATTTATCATAACTGTAATCAGTTTAAGTTACGGAATAATCTAAGACAATATACTGTTTAATAATAAACATATATATAAAAAAATATTTTGACACATTTCAGATCACAGTTGTAGATGGACCACAGGAATCTACAAATGTAAAACAATTTATTAAAATATTGCCAAAAAAGGACATAAAAGTGGACCCCTTAAAGAAAATAAAAAGAAAGTGTGGTAGAAAAAAGTCATTACCAATACCTAGGAACATACCTCCTATAAAAATCCTGCCAAAACCTATACTCTTAAATCAGCCAAAACCGATACTTCTGAACCAGCCTGCAAAAGTAGTACAGTATGTAGAAGATCAAAAGACACCCGAGCAGAGGTCAGAAGTCATAGACAAACTTATAGAGAGAATTCTAAAAGAGAACACAAATGAAATTGATGTATTCTTTAGAAGTATGGCTGCCAGTGTGAGAAAGTTACAACCAAATCTTATACCTAAAGTAAAAATGGAAGTGTGCAATGTAATAGCAAAATACGAAATGCAGAGTTTTGACAAAAACACACAAAAATACTAACAGACATATATATATATATATATATATATATATTAGTAAGATTTGTGATAAATACCTGATTTAAATACTAGCCTACAATGTATGCATGTATTATGTTTAATGTTCACAAGTTATTTCAATTAATGTGTATATTGTTCTAGATTTAATTAAAGTTTAAATGTTTTTTTTTTCATTATTCATAGAATTCATTGTTAATTCTATAATTAAAATAAATATTGATTTATACTAAAAATAAAGGTTATTTATTGTCAACTCCATTTACAAAGAACTAAAATTTAATAGCTACCTTTAATAAGTACTATCTGGTAGAAACTGGAACATTTTAAATTAAAAAGTACTTGTATAAAGTTAAATACTGTAAATGTCAATTTTATTACAGACATGTAACATTTTAAACAGATTTCTTTGATTCTTTGTTGCTGTCATTATTCTTATTACAACATTTTTTAAACAAACAAAAACTTTATTCGTTAGAAATATAGAAATCTTACCTCTATAGAATATTAGTGTAGATAAACTAATAATATTAGTTAAGAAATCAAATAGAATAACAATCGACTATTTTAGACAATCAGGTGTATGTGGAATTAAAATCATGCTACAATTTTCTTATTGTTAAAATTATTACAATGTACACAGAATGTTAAGTATAATAATTTAGTAACGGTACCAGTTACATTTGTCCAGGATTTTTAAGTCCACCGCCTCCATTTCATTAACGCTATATCGTGGGGAGAGAATGAAAGCTAATTAAAATTGATTGTCCCCTATATTTGTGTGGACATGGGTCAGTGTTGTACATTGCTAATGTACAGTCAATTATTTATATGTGGATTGTCGACTCATATATTTTTAGTTATACCTCATGCAATAATTAATGCGAATCTGCTTGTTTACATTGTTTAACATAATAGAGAATTAACAATTTATACCTACATATAAAAATTAATTAATAATGAACAAGAAATTTAACAAAAAAATAATTTTAACGTTTCATTAGACACGTGAAAAGAAGACGAAGAAAAGAAAAAAGAATGTGCGGTATTAGATCAGTTAGAACGACAAATATATGTACAGATGCAGCTGAATATGAGTACAATGTACTCATTTCAGCAATTATTTTACATTGAACACATTGTTCACGCCATTCTCATTACGGCTACTGCGTCAGATGCACGCAACTCCTTTAAAATTACTACAAAATATAAATATCATAATAATTTTATACTTATTTATATAAAACTATCTACCCGCCCTGGCTTCGCACGGCTGTACATGTATTATACATATAAACCTTAAATAACTCTATTGCTGAAAACTTCATTAAAATCCGTTGCGTATTTTAAAAGATCTACACGAACACACTAAGCCGTTCATTTTATAATATGTAAACATAATATAATATTTAATGGCATTGCATTTTGTTTTCATATGGGAAATCTGTCATACCTTTGCTCTATTATATGACCAAAATTTATTTCAACGAAAACGAAATTTATCACTATCAAATATACTTTTTCAGAGGGGTAAGAGCATTCTATACTCGTATCTCTATCATACAGCCGCAGCCATGTTGTCTTTTCGCACAAGCATCGCTCAACCCCCGTATTCTTACCCCAAAATAAGACTAGGGAAGTAATATGTTCTATATTGTCTTTTGTTGGCATAATAAATCTCGAGGGCTCAGCAGAGCGAATAAATAAATAATTACAGGTTAAAGCTACTTTTAGGGTAAATAAAATTTCATATAGAGTATTTTCAACCGATTGCCAAGATCATGGTAGGTTTTTATCTATCTATATTTCTATACTAATATTATAAAGAGATAAAGTTTGCAAGTTTGAATTTCCGGAGTAATTTCAGTTACTACTAAACTGATTTGGTAAATTACCAATATGAGCGAAACTGTAAAAAGAAGTGTTGCAAAAATAGAAATATTTGCAGACGAAGTTACTCAGCTCAATTTTGTGTATAAACAAATATTCATCCTTTTTATATTTAGTTGAAATTATTACAATATTAAATAGGTATATATACTATTTATAATAGGTACATAGAATGCCATAAATAAGAAGCATTGGAATATAAAAGTCTGAAAGTCCATCAAGGCATAATAATTAGGAGAAAGACATTGCTGATAAGGGAACTATCGGTCGTCATTGCGAGTAATGTACCTTGACAGGTCATCTCAACTATTCTAGCTGGAAACAAGCATCACGATTAATTCGTTGCGATTATCTAACCGAAACCTGAAAGTGATTGAAATGGAAAACAATATGACGGTCCATCTGATAATAAGTGGCAATATAAATGTACTTAAACACGTCATAAAGTTACTACCGTGATGCCCTTCAAGCGTTGCCATTCCATAAAACTAAGATCTTGTGCTTCCAAATCCTGTAATATCTATGCTTCAACCAAAAACAACTAACAAAAGAAAACTGATTGGCGGAAGAAATTGATGAGACACAGTAAAACCAGACGACTTTGTACAAAGTCTAACAGGATAATCCTTCTCCTCTCATGCTTAACTGATAACCCGCTAGTATATTTTAACCTACAATCAGAAAACTATTCCAATAATAAATAAGTGTAAATTAGATAAAGATTATATATGCGCAATTCCGCATTGCGTATAACCCCGTACCTACACCGCTAACTACCACCTCTATGAGGGGGAAAGGGGATTGTTAGTAATGGGAACTAGTAATCCCCATTGCTAGCAATGTACCATGTTAGGTCGACCTCCACGTGGTTCCTCCTGGAAACCATTGTTATAAATTCCTAGTGAATTTGTCACGATGGGCTAACTGACCTGACCTCATGTTTATCTTATCATCCTCCACTGGTGCCCCGCCCGGGTAAACCGTTAGCGCAGTCGGGCGGTACACCATTTCATTATCATCCCAAAAAAAAAAACCCCGTACCTACACTTTTCTATTTGTACAAAATGGTTTATTTTATACGGATCATTAGTTATCGCAATATTCTATGATTTAAATGTTTGTAATAAAAAAATAAAAGAAAATTAATTTCTTTCTAGACTAAAATCTATATATTACTATATAGCGTAAGGCGGGGCGTCTAGACAACCCACCTCGGTTCAGTGACCGACAATCTGCGCACAGTTGGGCAGAATCGGTAATCTCCGTTTTCGGGAAAATCGATAACTTTTTCGTTAATAATTTAAAAACTGAAGTGGAAAAGGGATAAAAGACAAGACGTAAAGAACTTCATTAATTATAAATACAATACCTAGCTGCCTAGATACCGTAAGATAAATAATAAAAGAAGAGGGCGTATCGAAGAAAAAATTAAATGAGGTTGTAACAAAGAAAGATTGTAACAAATTATTAAAAATAAAATTTAAAATTAAATCTCTAATATACCTCCAACAACTTGTTCAAATCCTAATTCCCATTGGACAACTAGAAACTGAGATTTCCAATTTCCTTTATTTATATTTTTATTAACTTTATTTTTATTTATATATTTCATAATTTGGAGCTATCTCGCTCAAATTAGCTTTTAAACAAAATAAAACGAATCCAAATCTGTATTTTCTTTTTGGAACAATTTACATACATTTCCAGATACTATTATTTATTGACAACTGTTTAATTACCCCAACTTATAGGAATGCAAATTTAAAATATATTGTCATAAAATTAGGTAACCTATGTATGTATTTAAAAGTAAACTAATATAGATTACATTAAAATTTTCATAATACTCCTATATCAATCAACTAAGTTCTTGTACAGTCTATGCGGTATACAGACTTCTCTTTAAAAAAAAACAAAAACAAAGAGAATACTTCTTTCTATATTAGTGGCATATGAATAGGGCTAGAAGATTTAAAGGGGTACTAGCATACAAGGGGAAGTTTCAACAATGTAACTGGCAACACGCTACACATAATATATTCCATGTGAGTGTAGAGCCGTTTATTTAACAAGAAACATTTATAAATTGGACTGGAATCGTTTCAAATATTAATATCATAATTTGAAAAATGTTCTTTTATTAAATCGCAAATGGTACGATTTCTGAGGCAATCAATCAAGATCTTCATTCAAGGTCTGGTGATTCGATAACTAAAAAATCTTTTAAGACACTTCTCAGAATTTTTTTCATAAATACGTTTTTTTCTCTAATTGCAATGGCAAAGAAGCTACAACCCACTTGATAGTAAGTGATAACCGTTTAGTTAGTGTAACACCAGTATATTAACTGTGTATATATTTGTACATGAATAGCTCCACAATCATGTAAGTTGTGACGACCGTGGTACCATTAATGCGTTGCCATTTCGGAGAACTAAGACCTCATTTCTCTTATCCTGTAATTTCACTACCTAATCTGTACTCTACAACTAATTGAGGTGAGACTGAGGTACCCAAGCAGACGACTGCTTACAAAATCTAACTGGATACCTATATGTTCAGATTTGCACCTTGTTTCTTGATATAAAAGGATCTATTTCAAATTTATCTACATGGCGTTTAGGCTTGGTATTCCCTTTACCACGTATAGAGCTAACGTTACCGATAACATGACGGCAGATAAAGATTTACAGGTGCTAGTAAATAAAGGTAGAGTGATGTGATCTGATTAGATACAGTCAGTTTAGTCTACGAAGTGAATATCGCGTGCAGTGGTACTGTTTTTAATACTTTATTTCATTCCGCAAAAGCACTACAACATTTGCAAAATCAGTACAGGCTTAGGTAAACCTTATTATGAAAGTGATAGCGACTCTTTTTATTTATCAGATACAAAGACCAGACCGAAATACAAAGCAAACAACTGTATGCGCATTTTATTTCAGTTTGTTGTATATTGTTGATTTTTATCAGCGACTGTATAGTCTGCAAAATATATATATTATGGGGCAATACTGCGGCATAAATAATATTAAATTGCCTGAATTAAAAAAAAACACATAAAACTAAAACTGTCTCGCAAGAAGAAATAAAAAGTTTATGAAATAAATAAATAAAAATAAAAGAGCCTCGTGTCAAAAAATATATAATCTGAGAAAATCTCGTACATTAGTTCCCCTTGACTTGCTAATCTCGAATATGACCGATATTCGTAAGCAAAAAGTCTCGTAGTAACTTGTATGAGTATTATTGAGTATGTTCTCATACAAAAAGCGAAAAATCTCGTAATATTTGCATGCCTGTACTGTTGGTACATCCCTGCTGACATCAAAGACTAAGTTCGCAATACCTGCACTTAGGTAGATACTTATACGCCCCACCCTTACTTGACGTCAATAGGCTGGGGAATCTGTTTAAACTAGTAACAAGCATTGACATATACATATATACCAACGTAGGTACTACACGTCTGCCCAGATATATGTACGTTTACATACCAAGAAGAAAAGAGTGTGATACATTTTCATTTGTTTTCTTTACATTTATACACACTTCTCACTGATATATGAATATATGGTGTCTACAAAAAAGCAATGTATTACATTCTGTAAAAAGTCTGCAAAATATAGGTTCGCTAGCTGTTACCCGCGAGTTCGTTTACTTTTTTGAGTTAAAAGATAGCCCTCATCTTCGTCAAACTTCTTTAAGCTCCATTTAGGCTCCGTTAATCGTGGAAACGTAAGAAAGAAGACAGACACACTTTCGGCTTTACAGAATAGTAGCTAATACGAGTGTTTAAATAATTTAAACTGACTGATTTTTTAAATTTAAGTATTAAATAATCAAATTATAAAATTTTATAATTATAATGCACAGCAAACTAAATGGTATTCAATAAAATAGTGTGACCCGTAGACCCGTACGAATAATATTATATACTATAATAGTAAATACGTACGAATAATATAATACTAATACCAAAAACGTGTCAATTTATATTTCTTACTGAACTCCTTCATGTGAAGTTGTAAAGGCCAGCTACGGCCGACAATATTAGAATAGTTCGAAAAATAATTACTCTCCTGTAATGGAAACACTAATATTATTATTGGATAAAACAAATTAAATTCTACATCACTCGCCTCCACAGATTGTATTCAAATATATACAGCAACACATTTGACAATGTCCATTTCGATTTAAAAATGTAAAGTTAAAACGATTATTTATAAGAGCAACATACAAGTTTCTTACTTATTCTTCTTCTGATGAGACATTTATATTAGATTGATATGAAATACGTCAATAACAAACTGAGTGGTAGGTTCGAGTGTTCAATCAATGGTCCCCCAAGTATGAGTCACTGATCAGTCCGCTATTACGGTATTAGAGGGTCGTGGAGCTGTCTCGATTCAGGGGGTCAATACATCTCAATTTACACTTTCTGTCGTATGTAATAACAGATACCTTAAGCTAATGGATCGACACAGAACAAAGTAATTTGATGTCTGGCCTTGTAGGTTGTAGACATAGAGGTATACTTTGTAAAAAGTCATATTCGTGGATATCTCAATCACACCTATTTCAGCCACTAATTTTAAAAAGTCGTCTCCGTCTCTTCTTTCTCTGTTATTTCAGCCGCTAAGCAGTTTGCTTTGTATGCTGTATTTCGGTTGTACGGTAAAATTAGGTAGTCAAATTACAGGATAAAAGCCATGATATCTTAGTCCTTTAAAATGGCAACGCTTACCATCTGGTGGACTATCGATTCCTTTGCCATTCCACAATTATAAAAAAGTATTGCTTGTAATTACTTTTTAATACTCCCTAGATATTAAGGCAGACATTGCATTCATGAAACTAACACCTACTTTAATGCAGTTTGAATAAATATGAGTCAGTGAATAAATAATTTAAAAAAGTAATTGTAACTTTTTCAGAAACTATTCATGAAAAAGGACACATTACATGAACAATAGGAAACAAATCCTCACCAAGACAATAGATCTTGCCAGTTGTAAGAACCTCGACTGTCGTATCCTACATTTACGTTATATCTTAGAATCACGGACAAAACTACGATGCAGCGTAGCAAAGAAACGGTTTGTTTTGCTTTGTTGCATCACATCACATTGAATATGCGTTGGCGGAGTTTATGAATTTTTCCTAATAAATTCTATATTCTATAGAGAATATACACATTTACTGACAAAATAGCATACTTATTTCTTTATTATTTATATAGGCTGTGATAAAAATGTAAATTCGGCAATTTAATCTCATATAAGTATATATAACAAAAAATATTGATACTCTATTTTATAAAGTGAAATATAATTCATAAATGGCTGTAACTAAGTTGAATTAGAATTAAAGTAATTCTATGTGGATAGTGGTTCTATAATATTTTTATTGGGTTGTTTGGGCTATTGTCAGATGTGTAGCACCTGTAGCACTGCGACCTACATAGATCTATTGTGCTCGCCCTTTTCAGAGTTCGCTACCTAGACCCGTCAGGGACAAGAATTGAAGGATATTCTTAGGAGCGATCGTTTTTATCTCCTCGGGAAAGAGTGTAAACTTTCCAAAGGAGATATTTCGTTTATGCATGAGTGGGCGGTTCTATAATAACTGATCATCCATTTGCGAACTGATTAAAATTTATTTGAAATCAATTTAAGCAACAAATAACCAAAGATCTTCTATCCTTTACATGCTTCGCCTCATTACTAACATTATTACTGGATTTGTTACCTCTTGACATTTCAAATGTTCAGCCAATGGTTAGGTTTAGCTATCATGTATTGGTCATAGACAAGGCATAGGCATAACATTTCATCACAGTCAATAAATATATGTTGGGGAGTATTATGGATTTCTCAATTGGTTATTATGGTGATTCTAATAAAACTAGGTATAATTGTGGATAAAGGAAAATAATTTGCTTCAGTATACTGTGAAAAGATTAATTACAATAAAAAAAAAAACAAAAGAAGAACAGTGACAGGAACATCTAAAAATATATGGCTATAAAAAATGTATTAACAAGGAGGTTTAATTTACAATAACATAACTAGGATCAGATCGCACGGAAGAAGCTTTTATGTAAAGAATTTATGTATCCATATTATTTATAGCATATTTATTTATTTTTGTGTATATATTGTATATTTCTATATCTTTATAGTTCTTATTGTCACAGTTTATCTATTTCTACCTAAAGGTTAGCTGGTAGAGAATACCATATAGCATTAAGCTCGCCTTTTATAAATGTGATTTTGTAGAATAAAAAAAGAAGTATCAGACATTTATAAAAAGAATACATAAAAATATTTTCCTATAATACCAATATCTCAATCTATTTGAGTAACGTGTCTAAAAAAATATTCATATACATTATCACGGTGACACGATCTCAATTCGGTGTTCAACAGACGCGCGATTTGATTATCCTGACAAGATCACTGCTCAGCATCAATAATTCGATATGTAACACGATAATATCTTGTGGTTATTGGATAGCTGTCGTCATATATAAACGATAGCTATCTAAAAACATTATAATATGCTAAGGTTTATCTAGTATATAATTATTTTTGAACTGCTTTCTTTGTATTGATATATCAAATTATATTCATATAATAGAATATTATAGATTTTTTTTTAAATACAATAAATATTTTATGTTACAAAATCACAATATACCAAAATCAACATCATATAATAAGTAATTATAGCATTATAGGTAAGTATTATGATAATTTGGGTCTACCTCTACAAATTAAAATGTTAAAACATTTATTCAATATTAAATCAACAATTTTGAAGTCTGTGGAACAAACTTTTACGATTATGAAATATAAATCCATTTTAATTAAAAGTCTTTCGTCACGCTTGTAATTGTTTAGAAAAAGTTAATATCATTCTTGGGTAATAAACACTTACACTTTAGATACAATCGCAATAACATCAATATTCAATTTTCTGCATCACAGCGAGAGTGCAGAATTACTTTAGCGTGAACAAATGAAAATACAAAAGAAACCTTGAATACGATAAGAAAATCAAGCGACAGATAAACGTTTGTTGTTAGTTTTTTTCAACACCAGTAAGTTAAATAACTGACAGCTTGTATTAAGACAGATGTATAGATGCAGTTCATTTCTTAGAAATCCTCTTTACCACGATAACGCAAGCTATCAAACAACAAAATAAATGTTTGCGGACTACCTAGTCCGCATTAAAAATTATATAAATTTTATCATTATTTTAAAATTATTAAATTTCCTATCAATAACAATATTTTAAAAATAGAAACAGACAAAAAGTACAACAGTTCCGTTTCAACTTTTTGACTCTGGAACTCTAAGATCCAAATGGATGCGCAAGAGAAGCAAAAATAACACATCTATCTTGTCCTATTCTACGTTTGCATGGCGGAGAAACTACGGTGATGTTAATCATAGAAAAATCATATTATCATGTATAAGTACATATAGTAAAAGTTCATAATATGGCATCAGAATTAGACAAGAACATAATCGTTTAAAAGAACTTATGAGTCCTAGAAATATCAGTCTATCTAGACACATACCTGTGTGGACGTGAACCGCCGGCTGCCGGAGCGGCTGAGCGTTCCACCTCGAACATTGCTGTCGGAGAGGTCGACGTCACCACCACCATCAGCAGCACGCCTGCGCGATAACTCGCATAACTCTGCTATTGGTTGCACCTGTTATTAAATTCGCGATTTAGTATAAATAAAATAGAAGAATTCATCATATACTAGCTATCGCTTCGTATGGGTGTACATGTATTACAAATATGAACCTTCCTTTTGAATCAATCTATCTATTGCTAAATTGCATTAAAATCTGTTGCGTAGATTGAAAGATAAGCGAACAGACAGCGGAAACGACTTTATTTTATACTATGTAATATACTGACTTGGTATAATTAGGCTTCATAAAAGAACCTCTAGAAATAGTCATAAATTTAAATAGTTTCCAAATGTAGCGGCCAATTGGTTAACTGTTATGATCACCCATCTTAAGGAAACCAATTCTTTACTGAACTGGAATATATACATATATATTAGTCAACCCGATGAGATTCATAATTCTAACCCAAGTCATACTGGATTAACAGTTTACATAGGTCATTCTTTTAGCAACCATTAGAAAAAAGATGATCAAACGACAAACAAATCCAAAATCATCTAGGATTTTATAACAAGGATTTCATGAAATTTCTAATGGCATATGCGTGTACCACAAAATATTTTCACAGTGCGTACAAGTATGCACAAACAATTCTAATATTACATACTTTTACCAATAAATTGCAATATGCTGTAACTAGTTAAGATTCCTCCGTTCGTTAATAACATACCACACATAAGATCTATTACACAAATTACTATTTGTGTCATGCAATCCATGTAGCGACTTTAACGGAAAATGCACCTAAGTAAAAGTGTTAAGTGGACAGGACGCCATAACGAAAGTGGTTTCACAGTAGTCTTGTAAACTCACATGAGAAAGTCTAAAACCTATATATCTACATCACCACATTTTTCTACTCTATAATTAAAAATATTCCATACTGACTGTATATCGGTATTTCGCAGACACTACTGTTAAAAGACATGAATGTAGAGGGTTTCTAAAAAACATTTGTACACTATATGGTTTACAAAACTAGAATACAAAAAAAAACTATTAGTATGAAAATATTTGTCCATGAACAACATCATATGAATTATTAACAAGGCGTCTATACCTTAAACAGAAGTTACGATACTAAAATTATCCAAGATATACATGTATATTAAAAGATACATTTCAAATAAATCAAATACAGTTCAGCACGTTCCTACAGACTTTTAGATCATTATTGTAACACTAAGAATAAAACTTTTTAATGAAGCAATAAAAGTTTCAACAGTTTAGCCATCACTTGCAATATCATGATAAATTACCACTAACGAGACGTTGATGTTATGTCTGTCAGTTGAACACTGTGCTTAAACGTTAAAATAAAATTAATGTTTCATTTGAATAATTTCACAGAAAACGTTGGTGGTCACGCGACGAGATCAGAATAATGTCTGTATACTGTTAGTAACGGTTCAGCAAATTGTGTGGCAAAATGATTAGAACTTCTTCGAAATGATAATAAAAATATTGGATGAAACAGTAATGTATGCAACTAAACAGCCTTGTTTCACGATAAGTTAAAACATGAAATTATACTCAGATAAAAACCAGTACAGTAATATTTCCAAGATGTAGATAGATCAATTTGATATTAACATAGGTCAAGGAACGCACATTCATTAAAAACACTTGAAATATTCATAGAATAATTAAGCGGATACTATGTGTTTAATTGATCATTATATAGGAAATTAATTATGTAAATTATTAATAGAATAACAACCATTTTTATAAACTTATATTAGATCTTATTGATTTCGTGAACTTCCGAAATAACGCAGTTAAGATTAAATTAATTAAAAAATACTCACGTGCCGCTGTTTCTTCAAAAGACGAGAAAATTTCATTTTTGGAAAACAATTGTCGCTCATAATCATAATTAAAGAATTTATTTTAAATACTTTTACTGACAGGTCTTAGAATCAAAGTTGTATACATGCAACTGAGCTACTGTTTCTTTTAATTCTTTTAAACATTTTGTGATATACTTTCTCTTACAAGACAACTCTACAAAAACGTAAATTCTTAAAGTTAATTACCATTTCATTAACATTGTAATATACTAACCTTGATGGTTACTGAATCCTGACTGCTCTTGATAAGGTCGATGACCTCCTCTCTACTCTTTCCTTCAACACTGACTCCATTTACTTCCATTAGTTTGTCTCCGGGAAGCAGTCCGGTTTCACTAGCTCCAGGATAAGAGCCTGGTTCGGCCAGTATCACAGCTTTGTAAATCAATTTACTAATAAATCCATTAGTAATGTTTCCATTGCAATTGTTATCACCATTAGGTAAACCATTCTCTTCGTGACCGTTATGTTCTTTTGTTTCTCCAATAAATATTCTCTCTTGAATCATTGCTCGTCTAAGACTAAATCCAAAATCATTTCTTGGAGCTTTCTGACGCAAGATTGTAAGAATTCTTGGTTTTGGTAATTTTAATGAAGTCAGAGACGGTAAAGGCAAATAAACATCTTCAAAATTACTTGTTCTAGACCATCTATGGAATCCCTGCGATTCACCGACGGGTGAGGTAGAAAATGGAGGTGTAGCAAACGAAGAGTTCGTAGTAGTATCAGTTAAAGAATCAGCGCTGGGGGACGTAGATGTAACTCCATGGTAACTGTTTCCATTTGTTTTAGGCACTTCATCAATGTCCTGTGTGACAATGGAAGGATTGCTAGAATTATTTTTGTAGTTTTTATATTGATTTTCAACAGGGCTATGAATAACCTTTTTGGTAAAATTCTGTAATTGTTGCATATCATCGCTAGATGAAGTACTTTTCGATGGTGGGATGCCATATGAAATGAGTTCATTTTGCTGTGTATTCCGTGCCAATAAATTTGATGGATCCTGGCCATTTACATAATCCACTGTATCAGCACTCTGGACATTACTTTCTTGTGAATTAGAACTAGTATTGCTCAAACGGGGTCCTTTTAGAATGCCTCTTTTAGGTGGTCGAGGCGGTATCGGAGGTAGACTCGGTGGTTGTCGAGGACTGGTGTTCACGTTATTTGGATTGTTCAAAGAATTTAAAGAAGTCTCAGAACTATCCGACTGTAGTATTGTGTCTTTTTTATTCCAGTTATGTGTAGCCGGATATCCCGGTGACAGGTGGTTGTTTTCGTCGCTGAGGTTAGAATTAGAGCCAGAGGTAGATATGAGCGGGTAATTTGAATAATTGGAATCTTGTTCTAGATGAGCGAACAAAGATGCGGTGTAATCAGCTGTGATGCCGGAGGGTAGTTTCTCCTTTTCTTTACGTCTGCCCCGCAATTTCAGCGAGCGTCGCACCTGTGAACAACAAAAACATTTGAGCAAATTGTAGTGGTAATATTGAGACACGGTTGAGCAGACATGGAGGCCATAATATAAATTGGTAAATAGAAAAAATCTGTTCGTCATGTTAGATTAAGTTCAAGACTCGAAACATTTTACCAGCAATTAACAAGTCATCGAATAGCTATCTGATAGTATGAATAGAACAAAACATGAGAATAGTTTGTCAAACAGATGACACTTGTTTCGTCGTTGTTGATAATAAAACTATGAATCAAACAATAGTAGATACTATTATTTAAGACATTAGCTTCCAATAAATTAGAATGTTAAAAATAGTCTCAAGTGACACGAGATATATAAGAGCAAAGGTGATGAAACCTGTCAAGTTCCTTCAATTGCAAAAACCGCATACCAATGGTCGTGTGCCGGTGTATATCGTAAACGTAACCGAAAGTGTATCAAAACCGGTTCATGACTGAATACGCTGCTTCAATATGCGAAACAGACTTTTAAGAATGCAATTAATGAAGAGATTGGAGATGATGTTTATGACTTTTTATAAATACAAAGTGATAATCGAAAAACATTAAAATTTTCATAACTTAGTTAAGCATTCTTCACATACATAATTTTACAGTCATGATAGTAGACTTTAATTAACGAATGCTAATAAAATTAAAAGAGTGATAAATACTAATTAATATATAGATAGATATTAATTAGTATTTATCACTTATTTAATACTATTACATTTATCATATATTATGATAATTATTAATTTAAGTTTATTAATAAAGAAAAAACACATTGCAAAAATTTACTTGAAATAACTGAATAAGTAGATGTCTTTTTCGTAATAGTATAAACTGCGGAATATAAAACAGTTATAAAATATATGTAATAAGGTGTAATGTTTACCTATAAAATATTTACGACTATAAACAATTACTGACAACCATTCGGGTTAGATTTGAATTAGAATAGCAGTGTACACTTACACTAAGTAATTAGATTAACCGCAGAAGACCTATCAAGGCTAAAATATTTAACTAGCTTGACACTTCATCTACTTCTATAATTTGTAGGTTGAAACCTATATATATATATTCTTCGCTCTGTTTAATCTTAACAAAGTGTTTAAAATCCGTAAGCGAAAGGAGGACAGTTAGCATTTAATTTTAAGAGAGGTATCTTACTGAATAGTGGCTTAATCAAAAGCAGCGATAGAATTTATTTTCACATACTTTATTTAGTGTTCTTGGGAAAAAATCTTTTACATCTTTTTATAACAATTAAAGATGCAGTTTGTCAGGTTGTAACAATTGAAATGGCAAATAATTTATCTCACTCGGAGTTTTGACTATTGATGGACAATAGAAAGGATAATCATATCATTATACAATTCCCAATTCTCACTAGTAAGTACTGTAAAATTGAAATATTTAAAAGTAACTCCTTGATATTTTCACAGAGTTGACATGTAACATTTTTTTGTTATGTTGACGCTGTTATATGTGCTGATATTGCTCTGATTTCCATAGTCCCAATTGCTAATCCACAATTGCAATTTTATAATGAAATGCTAGAAAATAAATTAAAACGTCTAATTGAAGTAACAAATATAATAAATAATAAAAACGTGCGTTGAATTTTATTAGTAAAACTAGTAGTTCCCTCCAGCTCGTCCTAGCGATCATAACTTCCTGGGTTTTGTATATATTTAACATATGTCTATGTCCCCTGGAATACCTTTAAAACGGTAAAAGAATTACTCAAACCGGCACATTAGTGTAAACAGAGCTTTTGTCTACAATATAAAATCGCTTATATCGATAGCATATACATACGATAAATTACGTTCCCATACAAATTAGTTAACAAAACATTATACCAAAGTACTCAAGCCCAATTGAATCAACTTGAAACCTCTCAACTAGAGAGCGTCACCACCATCATGTCATCAAATCACAGACCACACAGCTACGGCCTAGCATTGCAGTACGATTGAGGACAGTCAATCAACCAATTGTTTACAATCAACATTGAGAACAATTAAATAAAAATAAATAGATCGGAATAATTGGTGCATTCATTAGTCGCGACAATTAGAATCAATCGAGCATAACATTATTTACCAATTACATCTACCGACTTTGAGTAGGTACCACTATAATATTCTTAAAAAATATTAATATCTATACTAATTTTATAAACACGAATGTTTTTAAAATTATAGCACTGTTTGACTGTTTATTAAATTTATATGAGTTTTGAAAATTCCATTATATTCCAATAATCCCAAGCGGCTGAACGATTTTTAAGTAAATTTGAAGATGTTTAGATTGTACACGAGCTCACATCTCAACATCTGTTCATATTCTGATTAATTGTATATGGAAATAGTGCAAATAATAGTAAAATAGGTAAGTCTAGTACATATATGTACAATACAAATTCTGCTTAGTTTGGAATTAGATAGCGCTATAACAAAGTGTTTAAATAACGAGTTGTTAAATTAATAATAATAATATGTATTTATAATTACTCGGATGACAATTGTTTTAATAATTGAATAATATTTATATATTTTGCATGCCTAATGAGGCAAAACATAATGGGACATTATATTACAATAACAACCAATGTAAACCTGCCATAAACATGGCAAATAAATTTGATTTGATTTAACTCTGTGAGGCCATATTTTACAATTATCTATTATATTTAATATTGAGGGGTTTGGGCATTGCCAGATGTTTTAGACCTGTTGTACTGAGATCTACAACCAGATATCTCCATCCAATTTTTAATTAATTAAAAAATAGAAGTTGACCTATTTTTAATGCCACATTATAAAAAAATAAAAATGTTGTCCAAAGAATAAAAAATAAACTGTTAGGGGTGAACAACCCTTATCACTTAGGGGTATGAAAAATAAATAGTAGCCGATTCTAAGACCTACTGAATGCCTGCATATAAAATTTCATAAAAATCGGTCCAACCGGAGGATTATGGTAACTAAGATTATGACACAAGAATTTTATATATAAGATATATATATATATAAACACATATATACCTAAGGCATATAACATATATTCAATCCTATTGTTCGACCTGTTCCGGTTGCAGAGAGCTACCGGATCTCTGTGCGTTGACCGTGACGTCTACAGAATGGGGATCAAACTCTCCTTATGTTTCTGGGCACATTAGAGATATGTGTGTTTACCATCTGGCCCTATTGTGTTTTGTATTAGATTCGACTATTGTTTTAGGGATCCACCTCGGTTTCGTACGGATGTACGAGTAATGTACAATCCTGTACAAATAATACTGATAAATCTTCCGAGAAAATTCTCGAAATAATAATGAAACTCGTACCTATCCAGTTATTGACGGTTTAGAAGTAGTAGCCTGAAAAACTGATAAAAAAATAACTTTGCTTTATTTTATTTACAGTCTAAAGCGCCCACCGGCCATGTTATTAGTAGGCATTCAAAATTTTATAAAATCATACGGATCTTATGCTATATATATGAAATATTATTAAATGAATAAATTATGTTTTTTTAAAGTTTTGATTTATCCATTAGTGTAGTAAATATTATATTTATATATATATTTTTTGCAAAAATATTAGGAACTCTGCACCACCAATGGTTGATTTGATATATCCTATATATTATATTGTGTGCATTAAAGTTAAATAAAAAATAAATAAAAATAAATAATAGTTAATAATAATCTATTACTTGTAATAAATATAAAATTTTTAGATCTCAATTTCAAAATCGTTACATTTGCCAGGTTGGAGATTAATGTTCTGAGAAATAATATTTTTAATAGTATTTTATAATTCCCAAAACTGTTGATAAGGGTGGTTTTGGTTTTACAATAATATTGTCAAACAAAAGAAATGGCACAGTGGCACGGTAAGATTACAAAAATAAATCAGTACTAAAGTAAGCTTATCAAAAATACTTATAACTAATCGATTGATGAGACTGATAACAATTATTCAACAGCTATCTTTGTAAATTATCAAAGTAGATATCGTGTACTTGCGTCAACATATATTGTTTACTCATAAATAATATATTGCACTTTTTTAACGTAACTAGATTGAATGCAAGCTGATACTCTACCTCAAGCAAAGTGATAATTATCGTGTATAGACAGGAATACCACGGAAAAGAGGTCATCACGAAACTAATGTTATATCAGTCATACGTTATCATTTCTGAGGAGTTGTACATGTCTACGTACCCTGTAATTTTACAGCCATATATCACATCCGTATTGAAACGTATTACGTACGTGTTGAATCCGTATTGAAACCGTAACGCAGCTCAAAAAGTAAGCAGCAGTAATAGATGAATCTGAGATGGGTACCTTGGCCTTACCTATTTCCCGACGTATAGAGTCTATCTTGATATATATACTATTTGTATCATATGCAGTCAACATAAATTGCATATCACAAACTCATGCCTTTTATAAGTATATAGGGCGTAGTGATAACCAGGAATTGAGCTAACATTTTTTTTACTTGCTCGTTATATTTTAAAATCCCAAGCATCTAATTAAAAAAACAAATGGTTAAATATACTATTTAATTTTCAAATACCAGAAGTCACAAATTAATCGAACGCTGAATGCCAGGCTATGGTGCAACTAACAGCTGACCTATTGCCACAGTGACAAGGCACACAGAGATCATATCTTGTTCATGGAAAGATCGAAACTACCATTTTAAGTAACAAACATGAATTCTTGACAATTTGTTGCCTTAAAGATTGGAGATTGTCTCTTAAAGGAGATGAAACTGAAATATCAATAATGTTCTGGTAGATGGCGAATTATCTTGAGAATGACGTAACTGGTATAATTCACGTGAGTCCCATGCTGTGCATGTAAAGATACACCAGACGATATATTTAATAGTCAGGATACCTATTTCTTGTAATAGAAATAAGAATAAATTCTGCATTATGGCCTAACGTACTAATGTAATAATTACTACCCTGACTTACATCGTGTGGGACGAAAGGTCGTGAGTTAGAATTTGCCCGAGTCCAAGACTTTTTGTATCAATTAATATTATTCACTGACTTTCCGGCGATAGAGACATTGATAAAAAACAAATCACTCCAACAGATACACCGGGAGGTTCGTTCTATACCACGTTTGTTTTAAAAATAAATCATTAAGCAAAATATTCGCATATCAAATGTTGCGTTCACAACGACTTCAAACATAATTGTGAAGTATCTGGTACAATAGAGGATGTATATCATTTGTTGATGGAGTGTGTCAGGAACGAGAGTTTACGATATAGAATAACTACTACCTAACCATAGAATAAATATATAGAATGTTAATTCCATACAAAGCATTTTAGCCTTCATAGATAGTGGGGCTAAGGCAATTTGCTCACTGATGAGGTGATGTAGTAATCAGTTTTAGGGTACACTGGTGTTTACTTTTAGTTTAAACAGATGTTCGTAAATTTAAAATAATATAAAAAAGCGACAATTAAATTTGACAATGTCATTTGGGACAACAGTTGTGACGGTAATTATAAATTATTTGTTCGTATTCTTTAATAAATATCACTTTAAACCAGAAGCCTAGGAAATTCAGATAACTTGTCAATGTTCTATTTTCTCTGACAAAGCTACGGAAAGGCTTAAGATCGTTTACAATCTTTGAACAAACTTTTTGATTGCATTGATATTATCAGTCCATAATTTATACGGTACATAAAACGCAATTGTTTGTGAAATAATTATGATGTTTTGTAATCAACTGCACTGAATTAAGACAATGTTACATAAGATATTGCACACTTGTTGCATATATATAAGAAAGCATAAGGAATATAAATAATATTACACGGGACATTAATGATCATTAAGGTTACTAGTCTTTCGAATAAATATATAGCGTATGACATAATAATAGTAACCCAAGATAATTCACACAGCACCATCTAGTCCCAAGCGAAGTTCTGCTTTCGTATTATGGGTATTAGACAAGTGATTAGATACATTTTATTTTAAATACTTAATGAACATAGAAAACTCCCAGACCGATTACAAACAATAATACTCATGAATACAAATGTTTGTAACCTGCAAGGATTCGAACCTGCACCCATCGGAAATAAAATGTTGGGCTTACCCGCTACATTAGCACAGCCGTCAATATTGTAAATTTTACTACAAACAACTAGAAATAACATATATGTATACTGCTTTATAAATATTCTTATTTACAAATAATATTTAAATATTTCAACTTTAATAAATAAATCTTTTACATTAACACCATAATTTTTTGGAAAAAATAAACAAAATAAAAAAGTATTAGTAAAAACAAAGAAACGTCGTGAGACGGAAATACATTTATATACCAAAAAAATATTCGTATTAAGACTCGATTAATAACACTAATAAAAAGAAAGAACCTTAAGATAACAATACGTTAATGTTTCATAAATTTACGGTTCTGAGCTTCTAAATCGTAGATCTTCTTGATTCATAGAACTCGTTCAGCTAAGAGACGTTAAATACTGTCGTTTTCATATTCACAGTTACAACTGCGAAGTCGTCTGACTACTTTGAAAAAATATGTACCTATCTAACCAGTATTTTAAAGTGATAAATAAGATTTATCATTCTTACGGTATAATTGATTTTTTATGTAACTAGAATAGCAAATAGGCTGACAGAATGAATAGGCATACGGCTACCTGATGATGAATAGAAATAAAAAGATAGCTTTGATTGTGATTTTCAAACCATCTTTATTTTATTCTATACCATATTATGTTCACGTACATGTAATAATTAGTACATATTAAAAATAATAAATAAAAATATATAATAATAATATAAATAAATATAATGTAATAAAAATAAATAAATAATTTACTGATATTTTACTGATCTAGGAATGAAGTTAGCTAAACTGAAGTGGGAGGCCAGGCCAGACTTGTGGGCGGGATGGCGTTGAGAGGTGAGCCAAACTTGTCACATATTGGACCAAGTGATGGGCATCTATATCGTGGTAGACCAAAGCGAAGGTGGGTCGTTGATTTAAACCACTTCGCTGGTAAAACATGGCCTGAGCAATCTGAGTTTAGAGAGAATTAGAGGTGCAAGGATAAAACCTTTGCATAGCTAAAAATAAATTAAATACGCAATTGTACCTCTTCCAGTCTTAGCGGCTCCTCAAGCCCGGCTGCTATCCGTTCTCTTTTCTCTCTTTCTTTTCGCTCCTTTTTTTCTTTTTTCCTCCGCTCTTTCTCTCCATCACGCTCGTCACAACTGCCAGCGTCTCCAACCGCTAGGCCAGTCGTTTTCTTCATAAAGTTGAACATGGCAGCCGGAAGCTGGAACAAACAAAGATATTGAACTTATTATTATGAAATACATAGAGTAGGTATTTCATACACGTTTGACTGATGCCCCGTCCTTGCTATAAACACAACTGACCAGGCGCCTGAATATAAAAAATAGGTATGTGTATACGTAAATAGGTAAATTAGGTTATCATTTAGATACAGAACGACAGAAATTACTGTTGTATTTCGACATTTCGGCAAAATACATTATTAGGTACAGTCATTTCTACCTATCAAGATTCAAAATTACTAATTACAATAGGATAATAAAAGTATTTGTACGTTTTAAAATGATATTATCAAATTCTTTCTGATAGGTAGTTGGTATAATTAAAAAAAAATATTATTATGAATGATCAGATTGTAAGTGGAAATAATTACCGTTTACAATGAACAAACCATCTTATGCAATTTTTGTAGTTAATGGATTAATAATGAGGCATTACGGAATCGTAAAATACTGACAGGCAGATAATATAAGATTATATTACGCAATCTTAAAAAACAAAAACAGATACTAAATCTGCATTTTTTGACGCTTTCTACAAGGCAATACAGACAGGAGTTTCACATGGCAGTTTTTAAAAGACTAGTTATGGAAATGATACGAATTTATCTAATTGCTATCAGTTCCGTCAATAAATTACGGCAAATTTTTAGAAAACATTCATTTCTCTAGATTTTTAGAAACTTCTTTTTCCATTGATAACAAAATTGGTGTAGAAATTTATGGAATTGTAAACCATCATTTAATTCCGTCAGGCATTGGGAACTAGTTTCCAGCAGTGTAGCATATCAGGTCGACTTCCACTTGGTGTTTTTTTTAAACTATCGTGGTGGTTAAAAACTATTCGTTGTCCGCAATGATGGGCTAACTGACCTCTCTTCATCCTCCATTTCGCCAGCCCATGCCGTTGGCAGAGGCGAGTGCGCAATACTATTAATGTCATTCATTAAGGAAAACGATGTCTTTCAAAATCTGACTCTACCGGTTCCGATTTTATCTACATTAGTTGGCAATGCGGGCTTCAAACTATCTGTAATCCAAGAGGATTACGTAGTTTTCTGTGACAAAGTAACAAGTAGAGACGGACTCACTTTCATATAGATAACGTTACAGATAACTAGAGGCAAGGCTCGGAACGGTAAGCCTAGAAGGAAACATCGCCATTTTGCGGTCGTGAAACCTGTTCCCGTGGGAACCTCGGCACAATATTTTCTTTTTAATTCCAGTAAATGGTAATTTCATGATTTGGCGTGAAATTCTCCGCGTGAGATGCCACAACTACAGTCATCACTTGATGACTATGTCCGTGGTGCTGTTCATGTACATGGGCGACAGTTGCCACCAGTAGATGGGCCGTTAACTTATTTGCCATTTCAATTATAATACATGAAAAAAATACACACTGTATTGCTACCTAAGAAGTCACAAGAAATAATAGACGGAATGTTAAAGGCCAACACCTGTGGAATAGCATTTAAAGATGCCTCATCCTGATTTATACAGCTTCATTTGCAGGCTTACGTTATTCACTTTGTCGGTATCGGCAGCCGACTCGTAAAATAGATTGAACCTAATTTCAGTGAGTGTCATTGCGAATTTAATGTAGGTACAAGTATGAAGAAACTCTTTTTAAATTTTAAAGTCTGTTTGTTTTTAAGTTTCACGAGTTAAGAGCTTAAACAATGATAAATTTTCTCATAATACGTTTTTAATTTTCAAATTGGCAAGTAGAACAACATATGTTTTATTTAAGTTAATCATGCTTGCGTAGACAAAGTCATGATTACAAGCTAGTAATTATATGTGTTATTGTAGACCAATAATTTCAGTATCCTTGATAGTGATGTATAGCGTAAGATTTATTGTCGCAATTAAATCAGTATTATACATACTATACCCATAATTAACACTTCCTGAAGGTTGACTTGTCTATAAATCAAGTCAAATAATTCTTTATTGGCACAGTCAATAGATTTTTCTATAAATATACTCCTATTACTAGAGATTACACTCCCGGAGTAAGTCAATTAGGAAAAAAATATGTTTCCCATATAAGTTGTGAAAACTTTGCAAACGATAAAACGATTAACCTTTCAATGATTTGTATTTGTATGCATTTCTAGGTTTAATAATATTTTATAGTTCAGTGTATTAGTAGTTTAAAATTTTGAACTTCAAAATCCTTGCGCTTGACAAGGGAATGATATGAAATATCACACTATAGATGAACAAAAGTGTATGAAAACCCTAAAACAGACATTTAAATAAACAAACATTAAAAACAGCGGTTCCTGGACAAGAGGCGTATTCTGTCAATGTCTCATACAGTTACAATCATGAATCGATAGTGATGCCATCCGAATAACTGTCACCACATTGTGTTCAGTATTAGGCGAGTGTGCGCGCATACAAATTGCTGAACAATCGTGTGCACAATAGCAAATGTACTACATCGCATCTCATTTGCACATATCTTTCTATTGACGTCTTTGAAGATATTGTATGCAATCGTTTAGTCATTATATTGGCACGTAAGACCTAAATTCTACCGTATACATATATCGCACACCTAAATAAAAAATACAGGTTGTGGTATTAAACTTTAAAGTTAAAACTTTAGAGTGGATTTTCCAAAATTAATAGTTTTCGAGTTAATCCCGTATTGTATTAGGATTGCGATGCTGAGCCACTGATCATTATGTGTTTCCGCGTAAAAATAATTTCATTTTTTTCATTAACTGTTATTTGTTTTTCGATTGTATTTGTGTATTGAAGATACAATAAAATTCTATTCTATCTATATCAGCCCCTTTGTTCATTCAAACTAAAACCGACTACAAACTCACTTAAAAACGAATTATATAGTGTTTTGTTTTTAAATAAAATAAATAACTTGAATAAAAAAGGTTCAACGTTTTTATCAACAACACTACGTCTGTAAATCTAATATATTTAGCATATTTACCTTGTGCAATGACCCTGTTTCACATACATGGGACAAATAAAATTCATATTTAAATTTATTTTCGGACGCTATAAAATACATAACTACAATAAAAATGTATTTTATATTTGAAATTTTTTTGTTTTATGTAGTGCGTTTTGATACGAGTATATTAATTCCAGTATATTAATTTTTACATTTTAAAATCCATCTTCATTTATTGACCAGTTTATCATCTAATAAACTTATTCCGACTGTACACACATACCTGATTTTATTACTTTATGAACAAAACTCAAATAGATACTAGTAACTGTAAACTTCGTGCAAAGATTATTAACCGCATGAAATCAAACTGTACCTTAGATTATTGTACTATGGTTTATTTTATTCGGAACACAAAAAAGCAGCAGGATTTGGGCGCTAGATTGCATCGTCTCTACATCCTTTGTATGCATAATGCATTATGTTTTGCATTATTGTATGCATAATTTAATTTCTGTAATAAAAGTTATGAATGCAGTAGATCAGTGGTTAACTGGCCTGAATTAGGGTTATGAGTTCAAATCTGACAAAAAAATTGTGTCAATATTTATTCCTGACTGATTTTCCAGTGAAGGAAACACCGATATCAAACTAAAATCCGAGAACGGGAGGTAGCTGGCGCCTTCCACTTGGGAATCTAAATATATCGAGCGAAAAACTAGGATAACAGTCGGGACGGATCTTTGCTTTGATTTTAAAACCTGTAAGTACACAGATTATCATCACATAAAGCTAACCATTTCAATTAAATTTTCATACAAATAATCCGCATTCAAATATATCCGCCCATTTACAAGTTACAATAACACAGACAGATACACAACCCTGCTATTTATAATATTCCAAAGGGCTATGACTACGTAAGTTGTAACAGAAACTCACGTGGATTACGTGTCGTGTATTATAATTAAGGAATATACTCCATTAAGTGGGACGCCCTGAATAATGCACAGTACAGCGACCGTTCCAGACCATGTGACGCCACGTGTAATCGATTGGGACCTTGCTGTGAACCTCTGACCGAGTTATGATATCAGATGTTTATTACCGCGTTATTACTATTACAGTTATTATGTAAGAATCACTATTTCAATAAGTATTTTATTGTAAGATAGTCATATATTTTTTTTTATGGATGACAACGGAATGGTGTTCCCGTTTGCGCTAACGGTTTACGCTGTCGGGGCACCAGTGGAGGATGGCAAAATGAGCATGGAGTCCGGTCAGTTAGCCCATCTTAGTAAATAGCAATTTACCACGATGGTATCCAGGTGAACCACGTTAACCTAACAGTGGGGTTATTATTCCCCATTACTAATAATTTCCCCATGCTTGTATATTCTGTTTCGTATTGGAACTTTCTAAGGTGAAAGTATTTTTATTGATGATGATGACGGCCTCGGTAATCTAGCAGTTTAGCACAAAACTTACTTCCGACGATCGCGGGTTCGATTCCTCGCTTGGCACAAAAATTTATATTCATGACTATGATTTTTGTGGTGCCCCGCCAGCGTAAATCGTTAACGCAGGCGGGGTCATCGTTCCATTGAAAGAAATACAATAGCTTTGATAAAGTTATACATATTCCATAGGAAGGGGAAAAGCGCCATTTTCTCAGAGGCCTACTTTAATAGCTGTTAATGTAATTACTGACAGTACACTGTAAAACGTTCAATAAAATCCGACGCCGGCGACGATATGGCAATTGAATTAGATCGTAAGAAATGCGTCAACACGAGCTAATGGCCGTTCTAATGGAATTAAGTGTGGGAGATAGACTGTAATACAGATGTGTATAGATCTATTTGTACGAATATATAACCAACTAGCTGTTACACGGGACTTCGTCTGTATTTTGTTAATATAAAAATTAACATATCACGGCCCTCCTTATACAATTTGTCTCTGCGTCAAAGATTAACACTAGTTTACATTACATTTACACTAGACATTTAGTCATGGTTACGAAACCAACAGATAAATTTCATAGTT